ATCCAGAGTAACAATTACAATAAAATGAACCATCAGTGTTTATGCAAATTTGATCACAAATATTAGGATTAATCTGACACTCATTATTATCTGCAATATAATAATTTAAAACATGTGTTATGTATTTGATTTATACCTATACAAGAAATCACATTTGCTTTGAGTGAATAACCAGCATTACATGAACAATTATATGAGCCAGGATTATTGATGCAGACTTGATCACAGATATTAGTTCCCATTACACATTCATCATTATCTGTGAATAATTGATACCAAGTTTTTGTACTTTATTTACTAACCTATACAAGAATGACTGTCATTACTTAAAGTGTATCCTGATTCACATTGACAGTAGTAACTACCAACAGTATTAATACAAGACTGATTACATCCTGAAATTTCCAATTGACATTCATCAATATCTAAAGTGACATATGTATTATGTAGCAAAGTTAATAAAAATGACATACCTAAACAGAAAACATTGCCACTGTAGCCTAATGGACAAGAACAATTGAAACTTCCATTTGTATTAGTACATATTTCTTGACAACCACCATTATTAATAAGGCATTCATCAATATCTATTTGTGATTTCTGTATAATTATTAAAATTCATAAATGTACCTGTACAGTTGGTGGTACTATTTTTAATAAAGTCATATCCATTATAGCATTCACACTCAAAGCTTCCATCAGTATTTGAGCATATTTGAGAACAGCCTCCATTATTATTGTTACATTCATTAATATCTATTAAAAAAGCATGTCAATGCCTAATCCTTATTTAATGTACCAATGCATGACATTCCATTTGCTTCCTTGATATAACCAGATCTACAAGAACAGTTATGAGTTCCTTCAAGATTAGTACAAATCTGATCACAGCCTCCATTATTTGAACTACACTCATCAATATCTATAAAGAATGAACAGTAGTTCTGTATTAAATGCTTAGTGAAAATCACACCTGTACAATTATGACCACTATCATCAACTGTATAGCCAGTTTGACACAAACAAGTGTAACTGCCATTAGTATTGTAACATGTTTCTTCACATCCTCCATTATTAGTGGTACATTCATTAATATCAGTACAAGTATGATTATCAGATTCTAATAGATATCCAGCATAACAACTACACAAATAACTTCCTTCAGTATTTTCACAAGCCTGTGAACAACCTGATGTGCCTTTCTTGCACTCATTAATATCTAATTTATAATTAACAGAAGTCTTGTTATTGTTTTTGATTAAATTTACCTGAGCAATTATGATTGTTACTGCTTAATGCATAGCCAGTTACTTTACATTTACATTCATAACTTCCCAGTGTGTTATTGCAAATATCTTCACAACCTCCATTATTAGCTAAGCACTCATTGATATCTGTAATAAAATTGGACAAGCTTAATATTTATATCACAGGTACAGTACCATAGCAAGTATAGTTGTCAGTTGTCAGTTGATATCCATCATTACATGAACATTCATATGCACCAGTTAAGTCATGACACTTTTGATTACATTTATGAAGTCCTTCCTTGCATTCATTAACATCTATAATTATTTATATCGATGAACACACGCATCATTTACTATTTATTTACTATCACAAGTCCATCCGTTGCTATCTAGTTTGTATCCAGAATAACAGGAACAATAGTAAGAGTTGTTATAATTGTGACAATTGTGTTCACAAGCTCTTGGATTTCCTATACAATTTCTTGAGTTATCTATCAAATAAAATGAATAATTTAAACCTATAAAATTATATTGAAAACCTGAACACCCTTGTCCATCTTCTTCAATTGTAAATCCAGTATTACAGATGCATATGTAAGAACCCTCTTGATTGATGCACTCATGATCACAGCCACCATTATTGTCATTACATTCATTAATATCAGAGCATGAAATATTATTCATTTGTAACTGATAACCAGGTTTACAATCACATACATAACTTCCATCAGTGTTAAAGCAGCTATCTTCACAAAAGGCTGTACCATCAGTACATTCATTGATATCTATAGATATGTTAAAACCTTATTGTTTGATGCATGCATGACTCACCAATGCATGTGTGACCATCTATAGCATTTAAAACATAACCATTGTTACAAGAGCACCAATAGCTTCCTAGAGTATTAGTACACAACTGATCACAGCCCCCATTATTGATAGCACATTCATTAGTATCTGTAATCAATGCATCAATGATCATTGTAGATCTCAAAACTAACCGACCTATACAATATTTTTGGTTATTAGTAGCCTGGTATCCTGCATAGCAACTGCAAAAGTATGATCCATTAGTATTGACACAGTCATGATTACATGCATGACTACCAAGAGCACATTCATCCACATCTTTTCATTGATTTAAAATATAATTTTGATGAATAAATTTTAACTTACCATTACAAAAATGACGATCATCATTCAATACAAATCCGTAATCACAAGTGCAATAATAACTGCCATTGGTATTTATACAGGACTGCTCACATCCTCCATTATTAATGACACACTCATCAATATCAGTACAAGTATGATTATCAGTTTCTAGTTCATATCCTCTTTCACAGCTACATTCATAGCTACCAAGAGTATTGGAACAAAGTTGATCACAGCCTGAAATGTCCTCAATACATTCATCAATATCTATTATTATCAATAAAAATTCTGAAAATTTTAATGAAATTTACCTTCACAAAAATTTATATTATAGGATTTATAACCACTATTGCAAAAGCAGTCATAGAAAGGCACTTTGTTAATACACTTGTGTTCACATATGCTATCATCACACTCATTAATGTCTGCAAAATAATGAAATAAATATATAGATTCAGTAGTTTATAATAGTTTACCTGAGCAGTTTTTCCTGTTGGTGTCAATTGTATAGCCATCTTGGCAAGTACAGTAGTAACTACCATTTGTGTTGTGACAATTTTGTTCACATTCTCCATTATCAACAGCACACTCATCAGTATCAACACATGTGTGATCATCACTGTCTAATTTGTACCCTCTTTCGCAAAAACATATGTAGCTGCCTTCAGTATTAAAGCATAGTTGATTACATTTTGATATGTTTTCTACACATTCGTTAATATCTATTCCAGATAAGGAATATAAAATAGTGATAAAATTTATCTACATTTTTACTGACCAATGCAATATTTTTGATTAGCGCTAGGTTGATATCCTGTATAGCAATCACAGTAGTATGATCCATTAGTATTGACACAATCATGATTGCATGCATCTATACTCAAAGCACATTCATCTACATCTATTACAAAGAAACCAGACTTATTAATGGAAATTGTAAATTAATTTACCATCACATTGATGACGATCATCATTCAGAAAATAACCAATATCACAAGTGCAATAATAACTACCATTGGTATTTATACAGGACTGCTCACATCCTCCATTATTAATGACACACTCATCAATATCAGTACAAGTATGGTAATCACTGTCTAGTTCATATCCTCTTTCACAACTACATTCATAGCTACCAAGAGTATTGAAACAAAGTTGATCACAGCCTGATATGTCTTCAGTGCATTCATCAATATCTATTAT